TACGGCATAGCTTGCTATCTATCGCATGCATGGGAAGATGAAACTCCGGGACACATTTGAGCGCGTTCCACGCGCTTTCGTTATCTCTTCTTCCAACAAAAATCGGTTCTAATAGGAAAACGGCCGTGCAATAATATTCAATTATGTTGTTGCTCTAAGATGACCGACAGCTACTGATAAATTGAGGACAGACTGCGCGAAGAACAGGCCACGGGAAATTTATTACTTACCCTACAGCAGAATCTGAGGTAGAATTATGGCAGTGATTCGTTCGACTGTAGTAAAACATAGTGCAATAGTATAGGCTTGTTCGGAAAGTCATTTCGTTTTTTTTTTGTGGAAATGAAAGACAGTTTTCGTATAATAAACAAATACTTTATTACATTATATATTGACCGTTCTGGTCCAACACCTTTTGCCATCTTTCTGGTAGTAGCATAGTTCCACGCTCATAAAATTTTTGGTCTTTGCTGGCAAAAAACTGATCGAGGAGGTTTTTGACCTCCTCATTTGAGGTGAAGGTTTTACCGTCTAAAAAATTTTGGAGTGACCGGAACAAATAATAATCCGATGGTGCCAGGTCTGGAGAATATGGTGGGTGTAGCATTGTATCCCATTCAAGCTGTAAAAGCTTTTGGCGAGTGACCAAACTTGTGTGAGGTCTCGCGTTGTCTTGGTGAAACACTACACCTTTCCTGTTGATTAGTTCTGACCTTTTCTGTTGAAGTGCATCATTCAGTTTGTCCAGCTGATGACAGTAGACTTCCGAATTAATCGTTGTGTTATCCGGTAAAAGCTCAAAAAAAACGATTCCTTTAAAATCCCACCAAACAGACAGCATCACCTTTTTTTGGTGAATATCGGCTTTGGAAATGGTTTGAGCCGGTTCATCTTTTTTGCTCCATGACCTCTTGCGTTTGACGTTGTTGTATACAACCCATTTTTCGTCCCCAGTGATGATGCGCTTCAAAAACGGATCATTTTCGTGACGTTTGAGAAGCGAATCGCAGACGTCAATGCGGCGACACAGATTTCTCTCTGTGAGAACATGGGGAACCCATACATCGAGCTTCGAGGATAATCCCAGGCCTTTCAAGTGGTCATAAACTGTTGAATTTGATAAATTTAACCTCAATCCGATCTCACGTGTTGTTATTCGCCGGTTCACATCAACTAATGCCTTTATCGCGTCTTTATCAGCTTCAACCGGCCTTCCCGAACGTGGTGCATCTTCGACATCAAAATTGCCGGATCGAAATTTAGCGAACCAGTTCTGGCACTGGCGTACTGTCAACACACCTTCTCCATACACATCAGTCAATTTCTTTCTGGCTTGAACAGCATTTTTACCCTTTCTGTAGTAAAACAGTAAGATATGTCGAAAATGCTGCTTATCGCTCTCCATATTTAAAAGGGCACCAACCAAAAACTACTGCGTAGAATTAATTGGAATTTTTCACACACAAGCCTTGCTATATGAGCTCTCAAAGCATATAAAAATTATACGGCTTAAATGTGAAGTTTGGTGCAAAAGAATACAATTAAATCCTCTGTCGGGAAAAACGAAATGACTTTCCGAACAACCCAATAGTACAATAGTAGTTAATTTCTAGGGAGATGTTAAATAGTTTAGGACCTTTAAATAAATTTAAAACCCTTGCCATGCATACGTTGTTTGTTTTATTTTCATTTTTTAATGACTACCATTTTCCCGTTAATTTGGAGTTGCTTCTATAACTTTGTAGATAAGTCGTCGAATCGCTTATTTATACAAGATCAATTCATCATTGGCGCAATTACAATTACAAATTCAGTCGCTAATTAACCGATCTTCACTGAAAACAACATTTACCTTACCAAGCAACGGTCATTTGTAAATATGTCAATTGTGGTATGTTATTGCCGACGTGCATTTAATTATCGGATTGTCGACGTGTCAATTTTGTTAGATTATAAGTAATAATGTAAAGGAAGACAAATCGTCGATATAAATCAACAATTATTTTCTTGGGCAATGAACAATTTTATATTAGAGCAGCTTATTTTTAAAAAAATATATTATTTTAATTTACCGACCTATAAATTGTTTAAATTTAATGGTAGAGAAATTGTATAAATAATAGCAAAAATACACGATAATCAATAGTCGAACTGTTACTCTGTTTCTCTGTAATAGCCAACATGTTTGATTGAAAGCTAATTTACAACCGATTACTACGCAAATTTCAAATGTATGTATGTGCCACTAGTGAACCAATTCTCATGCAGATGTCCATTGAATTTATGTCGGCGACCTATTAACTGCCTAAATCTGTAAGCACTTTCGATAATTGCGACATCCAATAATATACTAACGGACTGATCTTTCTGTTGTTTTTTCTTAATTTAACACGTATGCAAATTATCGCGGGTCGACCAATTAGACCAGTTTGCAAACACGCTGACAAACGTGCAAAATACGAAATCCTAATTGCCACAGTGTTTCGCAACACATACATATACATATGTGCTTTCATGTAGTTATATGGCGTACGTATATCTATTATATATATGTACAGGTATACATAAATGAACACAACCAGTTGTTAGACTAATTAAAATCGAGACATATTTTGTACTTTGGCTAATTAACGTTCAAATTTACTTTATTCCATGTATAGAAAAGGCACCAGTCATTATTCAGGTATATTTACCGACTAATATTAAAATATAAGCAGAGGTTTGCCGCTGTACCTTAAAAATAGAGGGTGTATTTTTGGTCCTTCGAGCCGGACATGATATTGAATTTGACTGGTTACGAGTATTGCAACGCGTTAAAATGGTAACCTTCTTCTGTTAGTCATAAGAATCATGGACATCAGATCATCTGGGAAAATAGTTGCAATATTGTTAATTTGTTTGAATTTTGTCGACGCTACCTCCAGTTTACCTCATCTTTTATACGTACCGCTACGCCGTAATGGATATTAGTGACGGTACGTTATCGGCGAGATTATTTTTTGAAAAAAGATAAAAAAATAAGTACCTAAAGGATCATCAGGGGCGGCGAACGTACTTTTTCCCTTCGGTTTCAGTTTCGCACTCTCGGCGATTTTTTTTCGCGAAAAGTGGTCGGTTGTACGTTAAGAGAACGGCCTTATTCTACTTCTTCTTCTTATTTCTTCAAAAGCGTGTCGCCGACAACGAAGCTCGTGTAAAACGGCCGTCGATAATCCATTACGTAAATACCCAGGTCCGGTACTTCACGTAGGTAGGTTGGTACTACTGCTTCTAATTAACCGGATCGACTGTGACCAAATGACTTTCGCGAATCATAATGAACGTGAAAATAATTCTTTAATTATGCGTTACGGCCGGGAATTACTTGCAGAATTACAAAATATCCCTGACACGGAGACAATTTTAGACATTCTTTTTTAAACGTTATTATTATCATCTGCGTCCAGCTCAGTCAAGTCGTCATCTAGCGACTACAAAATAAAACAAAGTACAAACAATGAAACCATGCAACTTACTCAGTTTTGACGACATTAATCCAAGGTACTTTATAACAAATAATTACGGGTACTACCCGTTATGTAAATTTACCAACTATAGCATAATTTTATATTAACAGTCTTCAACAGGCCAAAACTTTACTTTTGTAGAATGATATAAACATAGTCTTACAAATCTGTTATGTATTTCATGTGTGACAATTAGATTTTGGATTACATGAAGCATATAGCATTACCGTAGATGTAAGGATATTATTAGTACTACCCGTTGTGCTAGTGTACAATTTATTTCAAACTTTATTTGCTGGCGTCAGGCAGGCGTTGGCAGGCCAGATGCTAATGTTTTTAGGATAATCTAAACACAGTAGCTATCGTCTTTGATTTCTAATTTGTGTTGTTACCGACAGAAAGGAGGAAACAGGCAAAAGGCAGATGTTTTTAGAAATATAATACGCTAAGGCATACAGCATACATGCCTGTCATTAGTACTAACCGTTCTGAATACATATACTTATGTACTTTAACCTCAACCCATGTAGGAAATGTGATTTAAATGTGATAGTTTGTGCTACCTACTCAGTTTTGACGACATTAATGTAAGGTACTTGTTAACAAATAATTTCTCGAAATTTTGTTGGGATTAAATAACTTTCTTATCCGCTTATATCTAAGTAAGCACGGAAAATATGTCAATAAAACCGTCCGCTTTTATTTGAGCCTATATAAAGTTGCCATTTTCTAAATAGCCCTCGTAATTTTATAGCACACAATAACGCCAATCTAGTTTATTGTCTGTTAAGTGAGAGGTGTCGGCATGATTTCAAAACGTAAAACATTCACTTGTGATAGGCACTAAACCATCTGCGACATTTTACATATAAACGAAATTTATCGATAAATTTTTCTATATAGATAATAATCAAATTTTAAATCAATTTCGAAGATTATGAAACGTTTACGAATAAAAAACGTAATATGCAATAATTGTGGCTGCCTTTATAGATACGATAAGCAGTAATTTCTGCAAAACAAAATGTCCGATTCTTAACTAGGTACTTGGATGTTAATTTGCTCTAATTGCCATTTTAATTAATAGAGTGCTCGGTGTAATTTGCATTTGTACTGGCCACATGTGTTCAATACTAACTGCTAACGTAACCATACAAAGGCACTAATAAACACAAACGAGTTTCTTGAAAATAATCTTCACACTCTGGAAGAAATCGAGTGTACGAAATTGAATAGTCAGATTGTGACGCAAGTTACATTGGACAAACAGGACGCAGCTTCAGCAAACGTATAATTGAACATAACGTAAATGTACCACAAATGGACAATATTATTTTTATGCCAGCTTACCTTGTGGTAACAACAATCACGAATTTTCTTTCCTTTTTTGTCACTTTCTGGGCAGTGATTATGACGCTGTTATTAAAATCGTGATAACAGCAAGCTATTTTGTTCGTGAAGTACAAAACTTAGCAATAATTGTAATCAACTTACCCCATAGCGGATCACAGTTCTTAAGGTGATGACTAGCATATCCATGGATTGATCTAAATCTGCCAGGTTATATAATCTGAAAAGAAAAGTAGCTCGGTTATCGAAACTATCAAAAAGCTCTCTCAATTTGGTTGGTTGTAATATATATAATACAGTATCCGAAATTAAGCAACTAACTAAAATAAAGCGACTTTCTGCTATTACCATTTCAACCCTAGAGGCTTCCTATACCGCGCCGGCAAAAAAAAACACAACAAATGGAATGTCGCTAAAAGTATTTAAATAATTTAGTTCCTTTAAACGTTTCCCATTAGTGAAGAAAAATTACTTGGCAAACTCATCGAATAAAACGCGGTAAAACGGTAATAGTCTTGGCCTCTAATCTACCTAATTCGTATAAGTTATCGACTGTTAGCTCGGTCTTGTTATAGACGATGCAAAATCGTCGCACTCGCTATAATTATACCCCATATCAAGTAAAATTGGCCGTGAATGGTTAATAATTTTATTACAAAGCGCATTTTAGAAAAGCCTCCGAGAACGAATGCTGCCACTTTGAATCCCTTAATGTGTGCGAGGATATTTCGCAATTTCTGCACCATTATCTCTACGATAACAAGAATTTATTAATATTAATGACGCACCGAAGTCACCATTATCGTTAACTTGTCTTTCCGCAACAGAATCAATATTTTCTTGTCTCGGTGACGTAATTTAACATATAAAATATTGCACCTTCAAGCTAAACTTACCGTGTTGATAGTAGCAATTTCATTGCACAATTATTTAGAATAATCGTACAGAAGTTTCACTTGGACATAAGCACAAAACCGATTTACTAATAAACACGATTATAGCAGAACCTCCCTAATCTTGCAATTGTACAAAACAGTTCGACTTACGAAGATGAAACGGTCCCAAAAGACATTTCCGATAGAGTCAGTGTTCATGAAAAGTATTTGTCATAAAGAAAAAGAAGTTTTCCTGAATTTAGATAGATAACAGAATAATTATTTTTAATTTAGAAATGGTCCTTCGAGCCGAATCTATAGACAAAAGTTTTACTCATATCAGTAGCTAATAAAGCAATATCATGAGGTAAGTGCTTGCGATGGCCAAGACTTAATTAAAAAGCACTAAAACACTCGACGAATAACAAATAAAAAGTTAATTAATATAAACGCCGCGGATATGGCAGTGTTTATTTATGAATTGAATCATTTCTTTGCCACAATACGACAACAGCATTTTATACATGTATTCGCCATGAACGCTATCCTATAATGTAATTTTGTAATTAATAACAATAAATCATCTACTCTTTGTATGGTAATTTAAACAACATAGACGACGAGCTAATACTCTTGAAATAGAATAGTCAGAGATCGCACGTAGTGGCCTTGTTCTGCTTTTTTTTGTTACTAAATAGCACAAGTCAGTTTCCTGTAAATTTTCATAACCTGACTCACAACTTCCTGTAAACATAATCGTTTAATACTTAATGTGCTTAATAATTTTCAACTTTTTACAACACATACCTACAATATCTACTTAATACGAAAAATTCTAACAGCTATAATGGAAGATAATTCAGATTTTTTTACAAAAATTGTTTGTGTTTCAAATTTAAAACACTACTGACGTAAGATAATTCATTTTTCTGGCAAGAAACAAGCAACTGGAATTGTTAATTTTTACATTATTAAGGCTTAGTATTACGAGTGGTACCTACTTCTTAATTTTTAATTGCACTTTTTTGTGTTAAAACCAAAAAGTTTAAATTACTTATATTCTAATGTAGAGTTAATTTAGAATATCATGAACCTTGGTCTTAGGATACACACTGACAAAACTCCACTCGTTTATTGTTCTTTGCCGATTTCTACCATCTACATACATTGGGACCCCAGCAAGAATAAGAAGAAAGGTAAGGTCAATTTTATTGTTGTTGACCTACTAGATAATGTTTTAATATCACAACCGTTAAGATTCATGACTGATTTTCCTCTTCTATTTGCCATTACTATGGAGAACAATGAATCTGCAGATGATAAAGACAAAATAATTGCACTCTTGGCTGGCTTTGATTTTAAAAATTTTTGCAAACCCAATCGAAAAATTTTCAAAAGATGTATGGAACAATATGTCTGATACCTACCTACTTAACCTGTATTTGTTAGTTGAGTAGAATTAAATCCGAAAAAATGCTGAGGCATAATAATATATAACACTCAATCGTTACAAAATTCTTTAAGTAACAACAAAAGACGTTGTGTTGGTAACGAAGTGTGTTACTAAAAGTAATGGAGGTACAAAGGCACCCAGATGTATTTATTCAATCGATTCTGCTCGCGCTGTACAAAGAAACAGAAGCCGGCAAGAAATCGGTTACGAGCCATGGTTAGTAAATGATTTCTGTATTTTAAAGGATTTTGCTATTTTTGTTTACGTTCTTTCGCTGTGTTTGAGGCAATTCCCACCGCCGACAGTGTTGCGGCCGCCAGCATCTGCAACAGGTGAACGACCACTTTCCTGAGGAAACTTTACATTATAGTGTGGTGTAACTGTAGACTTTTTAGTCGATACTCTTTTGTTTACCACTTATCAGACAATAGAAAGTAGGAATTGCTCCTATTTTAAAGTAAACCGTGACCAATCCATGGCTGCTGTAGAACTACACAAAATATATGTCTCGGCACCTACTATCGATTCTATGATTCGTTCATATCGATCAATTGTGATACATTGAAATATTATGAACTTCGTATAGATAGATGAACCTAGTCCTGGTTACAACTCTGCTATTTGGTCTTTAAATCAGTAAATACCTCATCAAGTGATCCTTAAGCTAATATGGCTAAAAACACACAAAAATTATCCACTTGGTGTCAGTTTTATTGTCTCAACCGCAGCATCAAAATAAACTCAAAAAATTTCGAGTTTTATGACAGAGTGACCGACACATACGTGTGTTTAAGGGCTAAGTAAGACATCGACAAGCTCAGTGTTAAGGCAATGCTTGAAACCTCTAAAAAGTTGTGAAGTGTTTTCAAAATTAGTAAAATAAAACTAAATATTATTGACACCAGAAATCCCCATAGACCAGTTTCAAAATAAAATCAATAGAACTTGTTGTATTATATACTCTAGAAGTATAGACTTTTAAGGGTTGTAGTACTCGTTTAATGTAAAATCTTATATATACAATACAGGGTTCGTTACTTGGTCTAACGTCGGAGTCTCCAAAAATATGTATAACAAAATGAAATTAGCATTTAATGTAGCTTAAGTTCAGATCAAAATTTACGTTATAGGGACTATTGACCTGAAAAAAAGACCCGAGTCGTGGGAAGATCTGTTCTTTTTTTTTATCCGTCGCATTTACCGTACCGTCGTCCGTTTACCAGAATCGATAAAGTACATTAAATTTTTTTGATGGAACAGTAGCGAATAGTAGAAAAGCACAATTCTCTGGAGCAATTGTACAATAGTTGCCGGTTCCGGCTGGTCGCGTCTGGTGCACATCAAACAAAGCACTTCTTTTCCAATCGATAAAGAAATGTTGTGTAAACGTCGCCGTTGTGTTTGAACAAAATTTCTTGCGCGATTCGCAAGAAAATCCTTGCTGAAAGCTCATCTATGACGGACACCGGTGTCGCGTTAATAAGAAAAGCTGCACAGTAAACGATAGATCGATACAAGAGATTCAGTTCCACATCGAACCGAACGGTTTGCGGATCGGCTAATCGCCGCCAGCAATCGACAACTCGAACATGTTATCAATTAGAATCTGTATGTCGCATTTGCAATTAATCAAAATCTTCTTTTCGTTCGAAATTTCGTAAAAAATAAGGTGACGTGCTTAAGCACCCGATTACAAAAGAACCGCTACAAAATAACCGCAATGAAGTAACCAACGAAAAAATGACCGCATAACAAAAACAGGACTTTATCGTACCGCCTAAGTTGATGATGCTAAAAATTGGAAATTTGGAGGAAACATTCCCTGGTCACTCTAGGGTTTTCCAAGGATTACACTGGTAGAATTGGGGACAGTTAAATAGTAAAAATCAGTACAAACCCGCCACTGAGAAAAACTAAAATAGGCGATAATTTCATGGTTAAAAATAAAATTTAACATAATCGTAATATTCTTCCAAAATCTGAACTTTTTACAAAGTACTCAGTAAAAGTAAAACTACCGTTTGCCGTTTATTATTTTTATTTGGCATGTTGGTAAAGGATGAAGTGTTTTTCGGTGAATGTTCATAAACGCGCACGTGGTGTCCGATGTTTTGTCGCGTGAAGGCGTTGGTAGTGGCTGCTAACCAAGCCGATGTCGAACAGGAAAAACTCGACACACTGGCGAACTAATAAAACAATCTCGGCGAATGGAATTCCTTACACAGCACTTTTGCGATTTTCCGGAACTAATTTAAACAAATTGCCTCTTTTATTTTATAAACGGTTCGCTGTGAGGCTGTCTTCAATTTTACACCGATTCTATTAACGTTCTATTCTGTTGGTCCACCTGATACGTCCCAAATACATTTCGACAATGTTCTAAAACGTTTGCATTATTTTGATCAGTATTGATCAATGGTGATCTTCAATTAATGTTACAGTTCCAGACCGAGTAGCTGTCAAGATACAGTAAAATATTTGAAATTGTAGATTCGCTTGGCACTTGGTGAAACATTTTTATAAAATTAAAGTAAAGGAATTAAAACACTTGTGGCAAGTTTCACAATGTTCATTTATTTCTCTGACGATTCAATTCAAGAACATAAAAAATCAATTGAAAAAGGTAATAAATGTACGGGCATAGCCCAACACTGCCTAGATTTTAAGCATACTTTAGATATAGAAAATATAAAATTGTTACATCAATGTAGTTAAGGTAAACGTTTGAATATTATGGAAATTTATGAAATAAACAAAGCAAAGTTATTAGGACAACTAGATTTCGGTATATGTATCACCTTTATTAAATGTAAACATTCAGGTAGTCAATGGTAAGATACAATAGTATTTAAGGAATAAATTTATACTGTAATATTTAGTAAATTTTTGTAT